CACACACACAAACGGACAAACACAGACACACACACACACAGACGCTTGCGCTCGCGCTCGCGGTTCTTTCGCCCTGTCTTCTGTTATTCCTCTACCGCCTTTCACTCTGTTGATTCTGCTCTTCTCGTGCGTGCGTGCGTGCGTGCTTATGTTTTGTACGTCAATTTACCTGCTGTTCTGCCTGTCTCTGACGCTCGGTCAGGCGTTTGGCACGCTGTCGACCCTCAGCCTTTCTACCCCTTCACTGTCGAGGCGTCCGTCTCCCACGCGCACGCACACAACGACAGGTGTGAGAGTGGGCCTCACCACTACTCCTCACGAACTGTGAATGAAGAACGGAGAGTGTGTCTTTACACACACGGGATGGTGGGAAGATAATCAGCCATTATCCTCCAGAGTTGCAGATGTATCTTGCCACTCGCTACGCTACCTTCTTTGCGCAGAGACAATCGCCATTTGCCAGTCGTCACGAGTTATGAGTAGAACCGGCGACGCCCACAATCAAATCAAACACCTCCGAGGAAAGACGCATGAACATGCTCGCTCTGTCGTAATACTAGCATGTTGCTTACGTCCTGTCCTGAGTTTTGGGCAGCCCCCCGGCAGTTCGTTGGTTTGGGTCTAGAAAGCCCACTCTCTGGAGCGGAAGGCTCTCCTGAGTCCTCCGCCAGCGTGTCGTTTGTTCCGCCTCTGATGGTCCAGCTCAGGGATCTCTTTCCTTGCTCGCTCCAACTCTTGGATCTTGGCCTCATCGTACAGTACCTGGAAGCATCCGTAGCCCTGGTTTCCACAGTGATAGCCAAGGCTACCAGTATGCCTAGCCCCACCAAGGTCAGGACCGGCGGGTCCACCTGCAGGTGCCCCCCCCTGGCTCTTCGGATGCCCAACCGCCCGTCCAGACGCTGCCCCCGCGCCCCCTCCTCCTCCTCCTCCTCCTCCTCCTCCTCCTGCTGTCCCTGGTTCCGTTCGGCAGCCCTGCCGTCTCCTATCAGGAGGCGGATGCGTCGGGATGACGATGGCCAGCGCGTCGGAGATGACCTGGCACTTCAGTGCCAGGTCAGCAGGAGTTGTAGCCGACAGCGATGGCGAGGCATTGACCTCTATGAGCCAGGGCTTGAGGTTGGAGTCGGCGATGATATCGTAACCGTACAGCTCGAAACAATGTCGATCGTTGATGATCACGTTCTGACACGCCTTCAGCGAGTGAATAATGAGGCTTTTTATGTCTTTGAAAAGCTTGTCCGTTGCCACGTGGCCTCTCGTAGCCGTCAGGAACAATCGCATGTTCTCTAGAGGCCATTTGTTCCCATGTTTGCCGTTGTACTCCTCCCCGTGCTTCTGGATGGCCACATTCGTCAGGTGAATGAACTGGTTATCTAGCTCATCCAGCTCTGTCGAGTACTTCACGTTACAGAATCGCCCAAAACCTTGCTTTCACACGTAGGCCTTCAGGGGGCGATAAGATGTGACCAGCACGTAGATGCGGAGGTCGAATTTCTTGCCCCCCACCGAGAGGGGATTGGTGATGTACTTGGAGATGACATAGACGTCTTTGCCGGGGATCGAACACTGCACTCCTCGGACTCCCCCCGGTGCCCAACGCTTCACTTGGGACAACCTATTGATCAGGAAGATTCCCACCCCCTGGGCCTTTCCGCTGGGTTTCATTATCCAGGTACTGTTGGGCTGTTTTCTGAATTCCTCGACGAACAGGCTGTAATCTGCGGGGAGAGCGTAGGAGGGTGGGATGAAGTCCAAGCCGTCCAACAACCCCTCTACTGCACTGGCTTTGTCCGCCGTAGCCATCCCCGTCCCTCCGGGACCCCCTCCTCCTCCTCCTCCTACTCCTCCTCCTCCTACTACTCCTCCTCCTACTCCTCCTCCTCCTACTACTACTACTACTACTACTCCTCCTCCTCCCCCCCCGTATCCCCCGCTGCTGCCATTAACCAAGGAGGATGACATTCCGCTGGCAACGGCCTCCTTCTCCAATTCCTTTCGATACCGTTTTATGTTTTTTACCATCAGGTCCTTTCGAGTGATTTCGTAATGGTTTGGGAAATGATTGACCAACTGGTGGTCGCTCAGGCGCATGTTGCTGTCCGTCGAGAACAGCCCTTTGATGCTGTGAACGTTGGCCCAGTACAGGTTCCAGTCCTGGTCTCCTTCCCGGGTTGGGATTCAACCACGTTTCTCGAAACTCGAAATCAAAACGAACTTGTCAAAGTCCGATTTCCACTTCATGTTGTCCGTTCGCAGCAGCGATGGATGGATCATGGATGGACTGCAAGGGTGGTGAGGGTAAAGAAGTACACGATCGAAGCAACCAGAGTACTGCACCCACAGGGCAAGGGAAGAAAAGCACGGAGAAAAGAGAGAGAGGGGGGGGGAGAGGGAGGCAGAGAGAGACAAACACATAGAGAGAGAGAGAGAGAGAGAGAGAGAGAGAGAGAGAGAGAGAGAGAGAGAGAGAGAGAGA